AGTCCTGGGCTTCTATGTGCTTTGCAAAGTTAACCTCCCTGCTGCCTTACTGAGAACACATCTCAGACCATTCTTGCTTCTTAAAATACTGGTTTCTTCTATCTTCCCCTACATAGGAACAATTCTCAGATATTGAATTGTGCAGTTAACTCCAAATGGGCTTTCTCACAGGAAGGCTTGATGATTGTGTACGACAAACCCCTCTGGACAGCAGAATTGTTGTGTTTCTTTGTCTCCTGCCATCCATTCTGCAGGTCCCTTCGTAGAATCCTAGGAGCATGGGATGGAGCACCAGAAAGCAGTTAACCCTCAAGCACTTGCTCCTATGTGATCTGCTGTAGGATGTCTGTGTTTATGCATCCAAATCAAAGATACCGGATGGGAAATGGGGGCACTGGTTTCCTCACCTTGATGTGTGCAGAGGCGTGCTGCGAGCCCTCAGGATGTTATGCACAGTGTTTTGGGCAAGTTGCGTGCTACTACAGTATTGTGCTTAATTGGTGTTAATTAGGATTGTGCGGAGGGGCATGTTCTGGCTCGGTTAGCTATATGCCAAGCCAAAACCATGACAAAATGAGAGATTAGGTGCTTCACTGAAAGCCAGTCTATTTATARGCAGGCCTCTGTGTTGTGTGCTCTCTTGTTCCACTTCCTTAGGGGTATTTACTCTTTGTAAGCCCTTCTTCCTAATCCCTTCATTTTGACAGAGAAATTGGTTTCATGGTGGTTTAATTTTGCTGCCAGAAGGAAGAAGCTGCTCTTTCCATGGGCAACRGGCAGCAGGAGCAGTGTCTTTTTTCTTTTTTTCAGGAGGGAAATCGGAGATCCTGCTTGTGCCCCAGGTGACTTTGAGCAGGACATTTAATCTTTTTCCATCCCTCATCTTCCCACCTGTAGCAGGAAGAGAAAGTCTCCTTTATCTGCAGATTCCCAGGCRTGTGTTTGGATTACATGGTTGCCGAGGAAGAGAGAGCACCTGGCACCGCAAGGGCCCTTCTCCTGTAGGTGCCGTTACAGTATCYGTGTCGGGAAGTGTCTCCCGCCTGCCTGGCAGGCCGCTCCGCCTTGGGAGCTGTCACCCCTYGGCACTGCTSCCTGCCCGCTGTGCAGACCAGGAGTTCTGCAGCAGTATTGGAGGATCTGAAATTGTTGTTAAAGACATGTCAGTTTGATTTGTTTTCCTCATTTTCTTACCACATAATTTCACTTGGACAGGCAGTTGGATTTTAAAAAATGAAAATTTCACTTGGGAGTTGGTGCAAGGATGAACAGTTCCCCCCCCAAAAAACCAGTTTCTGCTAATCTATATTTTTTCCAGTGAAAAGCATCTACCAGTGGAAAACCCTGGCTGGCACGGGTGCTTCCCCCTTTGTGGCTGCTGTTGGGAAGACCACGCAGGCAGCGAGCTGCCTTGTAAGAACTGCTGCTGGATTCACAGTTAGCAGCAGTACAGCTCTTTTGATGCCTTCTTCTGTATCAGTCTGAGCTCTGAACTGCCACTCAGATATACAGGCAACTTCCTTTCAAGTCCTGCCATTTCTCACTTTGATATTTCCCAGCAAAGTTGGCTATTTAACTATTAAAAAGTCAGTCACTGTGACTGGTTAACTGCGGACCTATTTAATGGGGATTTTTGTTCGGGTTTATAGTGTAGCTGAGGAGGATATACGATCTCTTTTGAAATGAGCTATTAGCATGATAAAACATCTTGGGAACGTACAATACCAGAGCTGCCGGTTTAGTCTTTGCTGGGGTATCTGAATGCTGTATTAAATACAAGGGGCTGCACTAACGAGCATTGGAGCTTTGTAGTGGTATGGCAGTAGAACACAGAGCTGAAACACAGTTACCAGATTTTTCTATAACTGTTTCCTGAAATATGCTTTGCATTTAGTATTCGGAATCAAACGCAAGGATGCTATAAAAATCCTATGTTTTCCATACCTCAAAGACGGGAAATTTCTGAAAGGTTGGTATTAGGAAGAGAGATGTTTCTCTTTATTTATCTCTGTGTATATCTTCTATATATATGTATACACATTTGTATGTATAACTTTTATATATATGCATACACATTTATATAAATACACGCGTACACTCATAGATGCACACGCTCATATGGACCCATGCACCCACGTCTGTGAACGTTGGCCGCAGCGGTACCCACAGGTTGGGCTGAGCTCCGTAGCGGTGCCGGGTCTGACCCTGCTGGCTGAGGTTCGCTCTGCCTGCTCCTTCCCCAGGGCCATAGCTCCTACCTGGGCACGTTAGCTGTGACTTTATCACCTTCCACATTCTTGTGGACTATGGAGGAATTGTGATTAACAACCAAAATTGTTGAAAAGAGACGCTTGATTTTTACGACTTTCTATTTCCACCTACCTCCTTGCTCCTAGTTTTACATCTAAACAGRGAATTTAACCCAGAGTAATTTACCTACAGCTTAAGGTTCAGGGGCTCAAAASTGAAGCTTAACAAATTTTGGCCACGTATAAGGCACAGATCCTTAACAACCATGCTCGTTTGTGTCTAGAACAACTTCTCTGAATGAATTCCGTTGCATCTTCAGCCAGGATGTTTTTTCTGACAGAAAGCAGAAGTAAAGGGTTTCCTTCTGGAAACACAGAGCAGAATTTCTGTCTGGGTCATTCAAGAGATCAGGCTCAAAAGCTTCTCATAACATTTAACTTTGAAACTTGGTAGGCATGTGTGCAGAGAGAGGCCAGAGCCTCGTCAGGCTGAAATCCGTGCTGTCTGCTCCCTTCCTCTCGGAAGCTGCATTTAACTTCTCTTATTCCTGGACCATAGTTTGGAAGTAGGCACTGCTGATGCTACTTAGCAAGATCCCTGCCCACAAGTGTGGAGAGAGAAGAGAGTCCAGATTGCCAGTTAATTCCTGACCTTGCCTTTGCAGTGGACGTTATGTTTATACATCAGTGTTTGGAGTGACAGTGAAGCCACCAGCATTTAGTGAGCGTAATGTGTCAATAGGCTGCTCCTAGCCAGGGCCTGGAGCTGCACATAGCATGTCCTGCACTGGGGCTAGGGCCTCCGCTGGGTCAGGGTTAGGTCTGTGACATGGATGTGCTTTTGGAACATCTTGACTGCTTTTACATCTTCTTTTGTTGTTCATATGTGGAWTCCTGTGTAAAGAACAGCTGTAACTTCCAGAGTTCAAGGGATGTAAGGGTGCTGTAGCTTTGCATCTCGGAAAACAAGCGTCCTCTCCGTGCTGTGTAGCATTTGTGGGAAATGAGCTTCTCAGTTTGAAAGGTTTACTGCCTAGATCAGTGTTCTCTCTGTAACACTTGAGGCCAACTTAACGGATGTACTGCTGCATTTGAGTGCTCAGCAGGAGTGAACGGGTCCGGAGGCTGTGGGAGCGGTGGTGCAGCGCTACCAATGCTGCGCTTTGCTGTGAAATCTCTGCCTTGCCAAATGCTCTGCCTCAGTCTACCTATCTGTAAAACAGCGTGTGATGTCCTCGTGGCCARTGGATGCCTAAGTGCTTTCAGAGCTGCGGGTAGACCACTAATTAGTCACAGCCATTCAGTCAAAATGTCAAAAATCTGATATTTTCCCATATGCTCTCTTAGTTGGGCAAAAGGTCTTGATATTCATTGATTTAGTCTTCCCTGGTGTATTTACTGTTATTTGGTGGTAACTTTTTATGTTGTGGTTGCTACAGATGTTACTAAATTGTGCCATCTGCTTCGAGCTTTGTAAATGTTCTTTTGGTTGAAATAGTGCAAAATCCTCTTCCCAGAAAATAAGAAAAGTGGAAATAAAACAGGATGCAGATACTGCCGCGATAACTGTTTTATTTCAGTATGTTCTACATCATCACTCTTGCTATTGGGATTTRTCTCGTCTGCACCCTCTGCATACAGCTGTTTTATGTAGCCTTACCAACATGCGTGTACACCAAACGCACAGGCACCCACGCTCTCTGACACTGAAAGAACCATACGTTTRAATTGTGTTGACTCAGCTATTTAATGAGGTGCCATAAATCTTGACAAGACCAGCTGGCATGAGAGTCAAGCTTCTCATCTTTTTACCATTACAGGGAAACGTGAACAATAGTGGAAAGAAATGTAACTCTTCTTTTTCTGGTGCTCAAAGTTATAGCTTTCTATTGAAATCATCCACTTGCATGGAATGCAAAGCACGGGGGAGCCGTGGAAAATRTTAATGATGAAAAGGCCCCTTTTCCTGGTTCTTTTCCTCAAATTCTGAAAACATCATTGATCTGACAGGTCACGCAAGTGTGGTCAGCATTCATATCCCTGTMATGTGCATGGGCTGAGCAGAGCAGGCGGCCTGGGTAATGATACCCAGAACGTGAGCCCAGGCTGCGAGCAGGGTGCGTGGTGCCTCGTGCTGCCTTGGCCCTCGCCCTTCGCTCTTGTCCTTCTCCRGCACAGTGGATTCTAGCAGCTGCCTCTGCACTAAAACCTGCCAACTCCGCCCCTGCCTGTCTGCACTTCTGCAGCTGAYCCCCAAGTTCGTCCTCTGCTGCCTGGCACAGCCATGAAATGGGGTTCTCCTTAACGCCTGCTGTTCCCCAAGRTTGTTGTCAGTTGTTACAAGGAGGTTATAGCAGAGCTGACTGTGTTTTACAGTGCTTGATTACTTGAGTATCTTTAGAAAAACAAAAGTAATGAAGCAGCTCAGACACCCAAGCATGATTCCAAAGCACCCATCTTGTCCTCCCATATATGAGTCTTTTATTGGACCAGAATTACCCCTGTGAAAAGAAGCTTGTTTAAATAATGCACTCCTTGTTTCGGGATATTTTTATGTCTTGATAATGGCATCCATCAATCTCTTTTATGTTCCCAGTCCCACCATTTAATGCCACTCTCTTCTTAAAAATAATTGCTCCCAAACCAACCAGATGCCTCTGGATTCACATGAGAGAGCTTTGCAATGTACCCCCTAATCATGGCTGACGTCTCCAGAAGCACTAACTGCACCTCGTTGCTTTGTGATTGCAGCATTTGATGTGTGCTGGGCTCTGGTGCCTGGTGGAAGGAGATACATCCTGTAAAACAAAGTTGGACCCCCCTCTGGATGGCACCGAGTGTGGCGCAGACAAGGTAATCAAATGCTCAGCAGCAGTGAGCTTGTTTTTTTCCAGCGTTGTCTGTGAAATAATGTTTCCAAGATGTTCATATATTCAGTATTTGCCATAAACCGGTATTTTATACAGATTCTGTTATATAAACTGCTCAATTAACAGCTGGATTTGGTTAGATCATTCGCTTTTCTGCTACGTGTATTCGGTAGCCTCTGGAGAGCCCAGTGGTCAAGTTCTGCTGGCGAARGCAGTGCAGGAAAAGCTGCTCCTTCCTGGGCGAAGTGCATGGGCTGAGCGCCGTGGGGGCAGCAGCTCCCTCCTCAGTCACATCTGTCTGTTGCTGCAGGCGCTCTTTCCAGACGGAGGTATTTTTAAGTGCAAGCCACAGAAGCGATGTGCCTGGCTGCATTTGAGATGGGGAGCACGGAGAGGATTTAGACTGAYGTTTTGGGAGTGGAGGAGGATGGAGGAAGAGCAAAAGGCTTCTTAAAGATGCTATAGTGTTATTAAAGATAGCTGAAAATATATTCTCACGTTCTCAGCTCCTAGAATGGGCTGTGCTAAGAATCACTTAAGGTTCATATTCCCAGGATGGTTGATTCTTAAGTCATTAAGCTACAGAGTAACTGAATCAGTTCAATAAGGGCCAGTCYCTTGCTCACAAGTCTTGGATTTTGATACTTACCATATGGTGCATGGTTGCAGMAGGAAGAAGGGGTGAAAATAAAAAKATTGGTGCTGGAGTTGGGCTTTAGAGATGGTTTTTTTTGCCTGCAAATGAAAGATAAACCCCYGGCATCTACAAAAAAATACTGGGCCCTGGAAAGCATGGCAGGGAAATTGAGGAAAAAAAGGGTTTAAAAGATGTGTTTTTCTATCTACAGGAGTCCCAGYGATTCTTTTATAACACTGTTTTGTTGTGCTTACTGTATTTTATCCTGGATAGAGCAAAAGAGGGGCCAAGTTTGCTGCTTGGTCAGGRGCCAGTGCAGCCTATTGGAATCAAAGGTTGCTTGGGATTTTAGCCAAACTAGGGCCAAAATACCTCAGTGATTTTATGTACACTGGGAATACTGCTGACAAAGATACAAAGATTTATCCAAAGTATAAATTCTTGAACTCAATTTCTACAAAGAGTGTAGGTTTACATCTTAGCACTTAACGTAATTATCTGTTTTATAAAGCAAAGGTTAGTTTTGTGCCTTTTTAAGATTCTCTTCAGCAGTTGGTTGAGCGTGACACAAATCTCTACATTCCACCTCCTCCCTTTCTCCTCCTCCCACCTCCGTCTCACAGAAATCCTAAATCTCCAAAAACTTAACACATAGACTTGTCGTAATCTCTGAGACAAGACATCCTCCTAACTCTGCCTGGGCAGGACCGTGTGCAGGAACAAGGCTTCTTTCCAGCCTATATTAACCCAATTGCGTTTCAGTGGTGCCGAGCTGGGGAGTGTGTCAGTAAAACTCCCATCCCCGAGCACGTTGATGGCGACTGGAGCCTGTGGAGCCCGTGGAGCATGTGCAGCCGGACCTGCGGCACYGGAGTGCGGTTCAGGCAGCGGAAATGCGACAATCCCCCGTAAGTCTTTGCATCCTGCTCATTTCTTTTTGCATATAGTGAACTTAGTAGTTAATTGTTGTATGAGTATGGGTAAGAAACGGGCAGCAGAGCAATGCAGAGGACATGGGAGACATGGTGTTCACCAGAGCACAGTTCGGGAGCAGAGGGATTTAGGGAGCAACGCAGGTGCTGTGGAAGTGGCTTGATGGGCTAGTGCTGGAAGTGGCCCATTGCAATGATGCAAACATAGATTAAATGGAATTAAAGACATGTAGCTTGGCAGAAGAGAGATGCTGTGTTTCCTCTCCAGCAGTTCAGTAAGTGAGTAGGGGCTGAGCTGGACCTACAGACCAAACTGAGCTAATACATCTTACACATCAGTTTTGCAGGCACTGTTGGCTCTGGGCTTGGGAAGTAACAGATTGGCTGACAGCAACTCTAACAATATGTAGCTGTGTTGGTAAAGGAGCTTCCAGTGCTTTGTGCATGGGCTTGTGCTGCCTGAGCAAAGGAGGGTGTTCCCACACATGGAAGGGAACAGGTTCCTCTGCTGTGGTGTGTGTCTTTCAGCACCTGCACAGTGCCTGTAAATAACCCTGAGCTCTCTGCTTAGGCTCATCTTTCTGCTGATCCAGGAAGGTATGTAAGAGAAGTCATCTCCCACGTGCCATCCTTCATTCATCAGATCATTGAGGCACACCTGAAGCTTCTTTTTTTTTCCTATGGAAAAGCTGAAGAAGTTAGCGTTGTATCCATTTAAATGACTACTTCTGCTTGTGTGCATTGTAGCTTTTGAGGGGAGGAAGATGCTCACAGTCCTGACAGCAACAGTCCAAATTCTGCATCTGTCATTTCATTCATATTTTAAGTTTTTTTCACAGATAAAGCACAAGAATATTTGTTTAACAGAAGCTGAGATTCTGGCTAGCAACAAAGTCACTCTAAAGAAGKGCCCAGGCAGTGGGTGGGCACACACTGGCTCGCTGTGTTTGCTGCAAAAGGGATGTTTTTGTTTATTCCTCTCCTTAAATTGGGCTGAGCTGAAGCTGCGTGTCTGCAATATCTAGGCTTGATTTTTGCCAGCCTTTTACTGAACAAGGGACTGACCTGGTTTCTTTGCTGTCAGCTCCAAAAAAAAAAAAAGTCTCTTTGAACCACAGTGCTGACCAAACCTAAATCCATTCACTGTCGTTGTTTAAATTACAGGAAATGCTGCCTCCAAGATTGCACATTGATTTCAAAATTCTCTAGCTCATATACATTCCTGGCTGGGGAAACACACGTGGTCGTCTTTTGCTTCATATTCCTGGCTTCAGCYCATTTCTTCTGCAGCTGGTTTATTCACTGTCCAAAAATACTGGCTAAGGGATTTATCTTTTATTTTATATATATTTGGTCTTGGGATTTTTTTCTTTACTGGAATCTGTACTCTTGCCAGCTGACTTTTGAGCCTGTGGGACTATCAGTATTTTTAAACCAGTTGCTTCATTGTTTGATTTGGTTTTTCCTTTCTGTAATTTCTGTGAGGGGCTGCATGTATTGCCTCCAAATGGTTGTAAGGCAGCGTGTTAGCCAGTTCAGACGTGCAAAGTTTGGGTTGTGCTGCCTTAGGTTCTTGTCTAGGCTTTGGCCTATCCTTACGCAGAAGCATTGAAGAGAAACCACTGGCTTAAACAGAACATCAGAATGAGATCCCCACCCCTTTCTATAGTCCCCTCATGACGTGTAAAAGAGTTGGAGTGGTTTAAAGGAGCTTTAGGAACTTCTTTTCCATTAGTGGGTGGATTTTCTTGGCATAAATATGGTAGAAGACGACTGAAGTTGTCTGCAAGGAACTCGCTCACAGTCGCTGTTTCAGGGGAGTGTCAAGAGGAGCTTGAGTTTATAGTGGTTGTTGGAAACCCCAGGGAGTGCTAGAGCCCCTCGTGTGCAGGCCTTGGGAGCTGGGATTTTGGAGATGTTTGCAGCTCCAAGAGTACGGTGGTTAAAGGTTTGCTGGCCCTGCCTTTCCCTCAGCTGTGAGATCTTTYGCAGAATCTTGTAAGAGGTGTTGTCCTAAGTCTTGGTCTCAGCATGTGGAGAGACAGAAGGGTCCCAGTGCAGCCGTGCAGATGGTAAGCAGGGAAAGCAAGGCATGCAACCTGGTGGCAGGTAGTCATTTGTGGAAGACYGGTGAGTTGTGCTTTCATTTCATCTTGCATGGTGAAAGCCCTCAGTATCCTATACCAACATGCTGAGAGGCCTGTGATACTGGAATACTTGCCAGAGGTCAGTTACRTAAAGGGAATTTTGCATTCCGTATCCAACTGGAAGCAGAGCCCAACGTAGTCAGTGTGACAGAACCATGTCCTGCCCATTGCTCTGTCTCGCCCTGTCTGTCGATCTCCTCCTTCCTGAACCCTTGAATGGGAACTGTCGAGTCTACCAGTGGTTGATGAGACTCAGGCCATTGAGGGCAGTGACAGGCTACCAGTGAAGTGTGATCACGTCTGCAGTGGGGAGGTCTTAATGGGCATTTTATTTTTGTTGGATAGCTGAGATTTGAAACAATTTGCAGATCTGTGAGATGTTCTGTTGTGTTGTGCCTGATGAYATGTGTGCATCCAGCTCCTTAATTTTGGGAGATGCTGCATCAGGAGAAGGCAGCTGAACAGCTAAAGAGAGGAGCAGAGGCTGACAAGCACCACGTTCCCTCAGCCCCTGCAGCTGCTCAGGAAGTCTGTCTCCTAAAGGATTTGGCTATGACTTTGTTATTACCAATGACCATTATTGCCAATAAAGAGAGTTGATAGCTCCCAGTCTACTGGCAAGCTCACAGAAAGGTCCTTTACATGTGAATGACATTGTAAGATTAAAGCCAAAGCAACTACTGATGAAAACACAGTAGTCGTGCTGTGTGTCATGTTCCATGGTGATACCCACCTGTGCAGAGAGCCTTCTGTGACTAGTTGACTACTTCTGTCTTTTGCTTTCTCCACCACAGGCTTACACACACGTACACCCACACAGAGTCACTTACGTTTTGTTCATCTTTTATTTTGTGGCGGCCAGAGAGATGCTACTGGAAGGAGGTTCATGTATGCGATGTGTTTATGTGAGTACAGGGTTCGTGTGGTTGGCATCACGTTTCTAGTCACCCTGAGTGTGTGTGTCATGCAGGCTAAAGCAGCAGACACCATTCTCCCAGGCTTCTGCATCAGCCTCACGTGTCTGCTGCCGCTTGCGTGTCCGTGGCAGGGGAGATGCGTCAGCCGTGCAAACAGGCGTTCCTTCAGGCCCTTCCTCTGGTGACCCTCTCCGATGCTACAGTATCATTGGAGATTAGCATTTCCCTTTCTAAAAGAACCCTCTTGTTCCAGGATTTAYGCAGCTACTGTAAAAATTGGATCGAGGTTGAAATATGACATAAAACTCCCCTCAGATCCCTCAGATACTTCTGTTGCACTGGATGCAGAACTCATCAAGTTGAGTGCAACTAGCAGAGCAGTGCCCGGCCAGAGAGTAAATAAACAGGCAACTTATTCCCGAGACCATTGACAGAAGTGAATGATAGGCAATTGGGCCCATGCTTTCTAATTAGCTGCGTGATAAAACCTGATGTTTACTGCTCTTTTGGGATGGAGAGGAGAAGAAGCCTTTGGAATCAACTTCCATGCTGCTAAAAGCTGGAATTTGGCTGGAGTTGCTATTTTTTTATGGCCATCTGTTAAAGAAAAGTAAGAACATGACTTTATCAGTCTCTGCTGATTACAGCTGGAGAGATGGGTGTATGACATGTTCAGAAAAGTATCAGCAAGTGTCTAAAGAAATTGTAATCCTTTAAAAATGGCTGAGTCTTTTGGTGCTTGGCCTTTGTTTGTGATTTGTTTTTTTTTCTTTTTTTTTTTTTTTCTGTTTTGTTTTGTTTTCCAAAGAAACAAAATACGGGCTATCATTGAGAGTTTGAGGTTTTCTTCTTCTCTGGGGAGAAATAAGCATGAAGAAATAGATTGTGCAGATGCTTAATCCTAGTGTTGAATTAGTGGCCTTTCCTGTCTATATCAAAAGCAAATGTATAAAATGGCATGGTTGTTATGGGTGGAGGTTATCTGCTGCACAGGCCRGGTTTCTGGACATGATACTCAGGGTACAGGTTGTAGGTACTTTGTGTTATTCTRATTTTGGACTGTTGAAAAAAGAAGCATGTAGGATTTTGCACTGAGGAGGCATATTTTGGGTCTCTATTTCTAAAGGTGTTTGMGGCAGGGGACAAAACCAACAGTTGGAAGAACAGTTGGTCCACTTGCCTCAGGTGKGCAGTGTGATCCTGGTCAGAGCAGCACAACCAACCGTCCTCCTAGGTTCCTCTGTGTTGAAAATACAACTAYTTAGCTTTGGTAATTGTGATGCAGCTGCAAATTAACTTGCAAACTGCCCGACAGTGGCAAGTATACAAGGGTTTGCCTTTGCATGTCAAGCTTAATGCACCTTCCAAACCTAATTTATGCTTCAGAGAAGACTGATTAATGTTCGCAGGTGAATAGCGTGTTGTCTTGCCTCTTAACCTGCAGCGTGCCTGAGATTTCCTGAGTTGCCCTGGACAGGGGAATGCAAGCAAAGAGCTGCCTGCAAGCAGCTGTGCTGCTCCCACTGACCTCCGYTCACTTTGTGTCGTAGCCCGGGGCCAGGCGGGAAGAACTGCCGGGGAGCCAGTGTGGAACACACCGTGTGTGAGAACTTGCCCTGCCCTAAAGGCGTGCCGAGCTTCAGGGACCAGCAGTGCCAGGCCCATGACAGGTACACCAGCAAGAAGAAAAGCCTCCTGACAGCTGTCATTATTGATGGTAAGTTTTTCAGTATCTTCWGTAGTTCTGTGCTGTTCTTTGCAGCTTCCCAACCCATGTTGATTTAATCTGCAAGACCCCCATTTGTCAGCATGAAGGCTACGGTATGTTCCCCTTAGCTAGATCTAAAAGATGAATTACTTGTTCTTGTTGCTGCCCTGCTGTTCTTACAGCCTTTTTAACAGAGGATAGATACAGAGCTGTCAATTTTTGGACATCTTTGTGCAGTGCTGGAGGAGTAGTGCATTCACTCGCATTGTCAGTGCATTCACTCGCGTTGTCAATGCATTCACACTCTGCCCATGCATTTGCAGCTCTGCAGAAGACATATATTCCAACAACCAAATGCTTTTCTGTCCATAAAACCTCTGAAATCTAGTCTGTGCATCATTTTTGAAGCACTTGTTCCGGTTTGCAGTGCTTTCTGAGATGACAGCCCAGCTGAGAGCCATCCAGCTGGTGGTGACATTAGACAATATTCAACATCACTGCCTTCATGAAAACTTAAGCTGGTGACAAGAATCTGCAAAAGGGTTTCATTATACTACATAAATAAAATAGTAATGTTGATATGTTCGAAGTAAAGGACATGGGCAAAAAAATTGGATTGTATATAGACAGTGATATGTCTAATAACGCTCAGGTCAAATACCTTGGAGTTATTGTGGTTAGATAATGTGTAAGAACTGTGTAAGACCAGTGAAGCTCTGTAAGTGCCAGGACAGGGATAATCTTAGAAATTATTAGGAAAGAAGTGGCGAATAAACAGGAAATATCCACATGCCTCTGTATAAATCTTCTATCTACAGCTACTCCCATGGGTAACGTAGCAGAGTGGCTTAGGATGGAGAGGGAAGAAAGCAGCAAATGCCATCTCAGACCATGCTGGACACATCCCAGTTCATCTTTGTTGACATTTTTGCTTCCTTTGGGTGCTGATAGGGTCCACCTGAGAGCATTAAGCTGAGAGTAGAATCTGACCTCAAAGGAGAGTGTTTCTTATTGAATCCCTGTGGTCTCTCTTGCAGCAAAGCCTGTCTCCCACTTAGTGGGGTTCCCTGAGTGCCAGGGAGGTTCTGTAAGCTATTTGCAGTGCTTAGAGCTTTCTTGAATAGGTATATTATCTACAATAGAAGCAGCCTTATCCAGAAACCTGCTGGACACTTCCAAAGCCCTTCTCAAGAGATCAAAACAACAGCATGTTTTCAGGAATAATCAAATCCTCTAAAACTGCAGCTCAGCATTTTTCAATGATTCCTGCCTAAAAAGATTTTGTTATTATGGCTCATTCGGAGATACACAGCTCTTGTGCTTTGCTGATGACTTCACTGAAGTCCATTTTAACTGCCTCATTCATAAAAAGGGCTGCAGACATAAGTTCTAAATTCCTGAGTTTTCAGAATGCTATAGGGAGACTGTACATTCTGAAAGGGAAGAAAGGAAGACAGGAAGAAAGAAAAATCTGCTTCTGCTTGCAAGAATCTTGTTCCCAGTGGTGGAGTCACCATCAGGACTTTCCCAAGTGGACAAAGGCTTCTCTTGGGCAATATCTACAGAGCACCGTTCTGGTAGTTTAACCCTTTTATGCCAAGCCTTGACCTGACCCAGATAACACAGCAATTCCAAAAAATAGGTCTTTTTTTTTTTCCAGACTTTTTACGGTGGTTTCAGTTGCAGAAAATTCTCTCAATTTTCTTTTTTTTTGGTGGAGGGAGATGCTGTTTCGTGGTCAGCTGAGAACTATCCAAGCTTCTAGGACAAAGATAACCAGCATGGTGCTGGATTTGCCACCTGAGCCATTTCATCCCAGTTTCCTAGGCTGCAGCATGGCATGTGGTCAGACCAACCAGCTCCAACTTCCTATGTCCATAACTGGCTTTTGTGGCTCACTAGAGAGTAAACCTAAGGCTGCAAATTAGAAATGTCTTGTGCCTGGTTACAGAACCAGATGAGTGTTTCTTGCAGATGCAGAAAGAAGGGCTGTGCAGAGGTGGTCAGACCAGTGGTCTCCTTACAAGCTCTTCTTTCAGCAGCTTTCCCAGCTTCTCCTGCCAACTGAAATCAAAATCTAGTTCCTGATCATTTGCTGTGCATCATACAAAAAGCAGGAAGTTTGAATCTCCACAGGATGCACTTGCAGTTCCTTCCTCAAGCAGGATGGGCAGAGAACAGCTCAGTTTGGCACCCCAGTGTTGGTGTTTTTTTAGGCACGTTGGAGGACCCATGCATTGTTCTCTGGTTCCTTTTTGCAGCACATCCAAGCACGACACTCATAAAATATAGACACAGACCCAAACCAGCCTTGAACTAATCTTCTACACTGCACTTGAGCTCTGCTTATATGTGTTAATGAGCTGGGTTGCAAATTTTTGATTTTATTGGGAATTTAGACTTGGTCCGTTGTATTAACAAAGCTTCTCCTTTCTGACTAAGCATAACAAAACATGTTTTTGTTTGAGTTTCAGTAGGTTCTTCCATGGATAAAGTCTGAGTAGCAGAGCGCTCCAAATAAAAGACATTACATTGCCTACACATCTGTTCCTTAAACGTATGGCAAATGCAGTCTGCAAATCCTGACGTCTGCCCTATGCTGCCAGTTAATAACACAAACCGTGAAAAAGCTTTTTTCCTTAACTCCTTCTCTAGTTAAACTTGATAGTAGGTCTTCCAGAGTGAAGACCTAAGTATCTAACATTGTGCTTGCCACTAGTATGGCAAATGGAAATGTTCTCCAACAAAATATTTTAGATGAATTTGTGAGTGCTTTCTGCAGATATCCCAGCTGTATAGTTTCTTGGCAGAAATACTTGTAGGACCAGGAATACCAGTATAAATAACAGAAGGTAATATGTATACAAAAAAGTGTTTTTATGGGAAAACTAAGGCAGACAGTTTATTCAGTCCATCAAGAGCAGAAGTGGACTGGAAACCGTTTGTCTTTCTAAAATCACCTGATGTAGCCTGAATTTTGTTTGAGATGCTCACACATTTCAGTAACCTGTGAATGACCAAGCTCATCAGTTTAACCCTTTGAATGTACCCTAGATGTAATGAAATGTAATGAAATGACAGGCCTGTACTGGAGGTCTTACGTTCCCTCAAAGATGCAGATGTCACTAGGTGCTGTTGTGTACCCCTTTATGCAGCGACTTCATGACATTGCTCAGTTGCCATTTCCCCAAGCACTTATTTGAGCTGCTCCTCAAGGAAGTTGCCTGTGTGTTTCTTTTTCCAGATAAGCCCTGTGAGCTCTTCTGCTCTCCGCTGGGAAAGGATTCCCCCGTGCTGGTGACGGACAGAGTCCTTGATGGCACTCCCTGCGGGCCCTACGAGACTGACCTCTGTGTACATGGCAAGTGCCAGGTGGAGTAACTTTCTCTTATTTCCAGTGATGCATAGCATGGGATGGATGTTTATGTCCTAAAAGAGCAAAATCCACGTGGGTGGCTGGGAGGTTGTCCCAGAGGTGAGAGGGCAGCCCTGGTTTCCAAGACCAGTTGCAAGGGCTCCACAGATCTTTCTTTTGATCTTTGAATTGTGATAAATGCCCAAGATGTGAGATTATTGCTGAACAGCTGGGAACATTCACTGATCACAGTCAGTTGTGTGTCATCATCATCAAGTGGTTCAGGAAGGGAGTGGAAATCTGGCTTGCTTAACTGCTCCGTTTTGGCTACTAGTGCAGTCGCTGGAGGAATGATGGTGCTGCAGGATTATAAATTGTTGCTATAGCCTCTTGTGTCACATTTTTAGCATCATGGTCCTTTTCTGTTCTGTCTGGAACTAGAAGTCTAGAAATGCTGAGGACATTTTTCATTGTCATTTGCTTTTTGGCTCTTGGAGTTGCATGAGCCAGTAGCTTTACCCATTTAGCCTTACATCTGTGTGATTTTGTTACCTGTACTACTAGACAACACCAAGATGAATTAGTGTTGGGGCTCATCAGAAGTGTTTGAATGCCTGTTTCCCTTGCAGTAAGGAAAAGCTTTCCTTCCTGATCGAAATCTCATGCTAAACCTCCAAGCAACAGGGAATGTAGGTTTAGAGGAGGAAATCCTGCAGCCTGCAGCACGGCCTAAACCAGCTTCCTTTGCCTTTCMTCTGCGCTGCCCTGTGCTCAGGTCACAGAGCGAGTTGGAGGGAGCATAGGGCAGGCTTCCTTCTGCTGTGCAACAAGAGCTGGTGGTTCCTGCATGGACTAGCTAAGGCCCAAACACGTTCATTTCCTTTCATCTCTGGTCAAACAAGCTAACGATCTCCAAGTTAACTATCTTCAGGTTTTATTTCTTTCCTTGGAGTAAAGGTGATGATGGTTTGCACAAAGATGCAGCTGGGGGGAGGCTGCAGTCAGGGCATGGTGGGGTKATCCTTGTGATAAATCTCTTCCATACTGTTTGCTGGGCAGTGAGACAGTTGATAATGCAGCACRTTGAATGATTAGTTGCCCATCTCTTAGAGTTGCAGTTTCTGATTCCTTGAAAATTCAGGAGAAATTGTGTGGACCCCTGGTAACTATGARCATAGGGAACTGGGAGAGGGAAGGAAGAGAATAGAACATTGAAATAAAGATCTTAAAGAAAAAGAAGGAAGCTAGGATGGGTATTGCTAGCAGTGCGTAGCAGTTGTCCTCAAGGCTTTTGTCATGGGCACTAAGACACTTAGTGGCTTTTCTCTCTCTGACCCATGTGGCATGTGTTCAAAATCTGCTCCACACACATTAGTAACGTGAAAGAAGTTTGAGTCAGCTACTCCAACTTGCCAGTTCTGGATTCTTCGGGGCAGTTTTTTCTCCAAATTTTTCCTAGTCCTGATTTTTTTCCTGTGSAATGAGTTCCTCTCTTCCCTATTACCAAGCCTATTGTAGCCACCAGAGCAGCTTTCTAGCATCACCCTTTACCTCCAATAACTTCATTGGACATGTGCTAGTTTGCCTCAAGGGCAGGGCACAAGGCACACCATCTGTCAGCTAGTGAGCAGTGGTTAAGAGCTATGAATTTCTGTTGCTTTGAGCTCTCCAGGCAGGGAGGTGAGTGAACCCAATATTCTTATAGGGATAGGAAAGGTTTCCAGTTTATTCATATGAAGAATCTGAACAGCACTGGTTGCTGGGGAACCAGCACAGGGAGGCAATTCTTTATATGCTGTTCAGTACTGAGTGCCCTGCATGGAGCCAGGTCCATGGTAGAACCCATACGACCTTTTATTTTCCCTGCTATTTTCAGTTGTACCTAAAAAGCTGAGAAATCCATTAAAAACCTTTTATAGTCAGGGCAGCTGYGCACCTCCAGCTGTGTGCCATTGACCGTTGCACATTGACATTGCTGGGCTGGCCAGCTTTACTGCTCCAGACATTCAGATCAGCCACAAGCAGTAAATCAGACATTATGGCAATGCATGTTTTCTTCTTCCAGTGAGAAGCAGTAGCCAGCTCCCCTCCAAATGAAAGCCTTTATGAGCACAGAGCTTTGGAGGTACATCTTGAAAYTGCACTCTAACTCGGGGGCAACTGCCTTTAACTGTGCAGAGAGGTGATGACAGCTGCAGAACATTCAGTCCGTTTGCATCTGGCTGGGAGAAAATGCAAAATGATCAAGCGGAGCAGATTTGAAAGTCTCATGTACTCATTTATCATACTCCCTTAAATGCACTTCAGTGCTGAGAATCGCTGTGTGTAACTTCGTACTCCATTTACTACAGATTCTTGTCTAACTAGTTACCTCTTAAACCAATTTAATCAGACATTCATTTAATTACGCTTCTCATTTCTTTACCCAGTGTAGACAAAGCCTCACAGTAAGCATTGCAGGGGTCCTGGAGAAGAGAATAAGTGCTGAAATCAGAGGGTGGTATTGCTGTTACTCATTTTCTTGCATAATCCTTCAAGTTAAAGGCTTTTTAAAAGCAGGAATAACACGTTTCCAGTGTAACAGATGTTTGCAGAAGCCACTGCCTGCAAACACATAACCCAGCAAGTGTGACAGCTTTTTTCCCTTCACGAGTTAGGWGTTCCTGAACAAAACTCATGCATTYTTGTTGGAGAAATGAATGGAGGTGAATGTGGCAAAGAAAAAACGCTCTTGTAAGGTGAGGGGAGTTTAGAGAAGAGAAGCATTGACACATTTCTTTCAAACACACTCAGTTTTATCCCGTCCTTATGTAGAAGAGTGGTCTTTCAGAATGAACATTTTATTCTTGAAGTGATAGAAGCATGCCAGCATAAGGACAAAATATAAACTATGTAAGAGCTTCAGGAGCTGGTCTCCAAATTGAGGGCAATGCTCTAAAGTTGTAATTTTAGTAGAAGCATTGCAGGGTGAGAATGACAGCACTTATTCCTGCCATCTCCTGAACAAACATAGATGCCATGTCCAGTGTGTACAGAGAGCTCAGACTTCTTGAAATGCACAATTTTCTAATAAGGGTAATTCTTTCACTTGGAATTTTTCGGAGACAGTAAATCTGTAACAGGCTGGAAAACAGCAGCAGTGTCATGAAGCTGATGATGTGGAAAATGAGTGCAGCAAAAGGCTCTGCAGCCTCTCCTCTCTCCTGCCTTCACAAGGCTTGCTCTTGCTGGCAGGGACGCTTCCTTCATGGKGAAGCAGTGCAACCTGCGGCTCACRTTGCTTTCATCTTCTCCTGTTTCTCTTTAAGGAACAACTGGCTTTCAGTGAGAAGGTTTCRCTGAGATTTTACTCTTTGAAGCCTKCTTGATGTGTGTTTCTCACAGAGCCCACATTGGTAGCAGAGCACTTTCTGACATCTTCAGTTTCTAAGGTGCTCGAGTTCTTTGTTCTGTTTGTGCTGCTAATGYTAGCACCAAACTCTTGGCAGAAGTGGCACTGAAAAAGGTGTCAGATGTCACACAGCAGCAATGTGGGCAGAGAACCAGCTGCTTTGCTGACTCGTGTGATGCAAGTGACTCTGTGCTGGCTCCTCTCAAAGGAGACTTAGTCTGAGACTMAAGAGAGCAGGAAAGAACTTCCTAATGGAGACCACAGGTTGTACATGAGGGTGTAATCTAAGGTCGCTTTGAAAACTGTATCCTGTACAGCAGARCTTGGCTGAAGATCATGGGCAGTCTTTGCTGTGATTTAGCCATTTAAGATGGGAAGATGTTTTGGCTTTATCTAGTTTTCACATGAGTGTTTTGCCGTGTCACAGCTATTTTTAACTTGTCGGTGAAATCTACAGTATATTCACTGCTGACAAGCCACAAACTAGACTATTTTGACACAGCAAAAACATTGTGGACTAACTTCCTTCTAAAACCAGTTGTTGTAGATAAGTATAAAATTCAAGTCTAAATTGGAAACTGGYCACATGTTCAAAAATAGCTTTTCCAGATTAGATGACCAGAGCGTCAGGAGAAGACCACAATGAACAGAGGTAAAATTGTAGTTGTCAGCTGCAGGAGCAGGACCAGTCGTTGGCAAACCCATTTTGGTGCATCCAGCACCAACTTTTGCTTTGATCGATGCATGGAGTTCTGCCTCCTTGAGTATTTTCCACTCATACTCTTGCATTACAAACTATGGTACAAGATCTTCTAGGTAGGGTAACTTGTCTCCATACAACAGCTTGGTTAGCACTGGGTTTGGTTAGTTATTCAGACCGTGCTCACAAAGTCCAGGAGGTTGTTTGAACTACAGATACCTCCTCTATAGTAACCTCTGCAGTTCCTGGCTCTGAAGCAATATAATCTGAGACCTAGAAAGAATAGCAGAGCTTTCGGTGAATAGAGAGTGGCAACAAAAAGCAGGATTTTGTCAGTATTCTACTACTTTCTTAGTGTACTTTGCAATGGGATGTGAAAAAAAAAAATGCTGTTACCCTGCTATTCTTTTGTGTTAGTGCACAAAGAACATGAAATAGCCTTTCATTGTGTGACCCACCTGAGAGACTTCAGGCCAAGAGGCTTGTGGCTCTAACAGCGAAGTATCAACTAGGAGGGAAGCTATAGATGTATCGTGTCCTGATAAGCCTATGTTCTTTTCCCATCCAGAATTGATATGTCTCTTTAAAAGAGTACTTGATATCAAATCGAGTGTTATCTGCACCCTGCTGACATTTGTACTAATCAGAACAGTGAATTTGAAGGTATCAGTTGAGATGAGACTGGTTTGGAAGAGTCAGAGGTAGCCACAGAAAGCAGCCAAAGAACAGAAGCAAAGGAGTTCCTTATGGGAAAGGCCTCAGGGTGGGGAAGGACGTTGTATTATTTGCACCTTCTTATAGCCTGTTCTGCTGCCAAAACTCAGGGCTCTTGTCACRCAGCCTTCAGGCTCTGTATGTGAAAGGATGAAGGCTAGGAGAATAATTTGATGTAGAATCAGCATGGTCTGTTACATGATCAATTTGTAAAATGGCACATTTGCATCAATATTTATATTTGATCCATTGAGACAGCTAGTTAGTTCAGCATGTGGGAAGCATTATAGTTTTGTGAGCCTACATTGTCATTTCTTRCACAGGGTGGGTGTATATATCAGAAATAATTGTGTTTATGTAGCAAAACATACCCAGGCTGTATCAATTGAGCTTGTGTGTAGGCATTCAAAATAAAAATATCATTAAAATACCCAAGCAATACAGAATATAGTTCACACACTGAAGAATCCAAGTGATGTGCATGCAGAAGAGTTTTCCTTCGCTGGAGCCAGCGATGACTAAAGCTGGAAATACCACCCAACAAGCAGTATTTTCAGATGTCTAGTTATATGAGTGAGAAGGGAGGAGGAGGGAAAGAAGGAAGAGCAGACTGACGTATCRGCTCAAAGAGAGGGGACTTCAGGCCTTTGGCTCAGCAAATGTGCCAATGTTAAGGTCAGTGGATATTTCCAAACCAGAGTGTCAGAGTAGGAGACTGCCTGAGTTGAAGGTCAGTAAGAAGCCCATGGATGTAGCTGTGACCCCTCCTTGTTGAGGGCTTGAAAATGCAGAAGACTCTCTCTACCTTTCCTGCCAGCACTCCTGTATTTCAGTGCAGGCAAGGGACCAGCTATAGCTCAAAATCACTTTTACTTGTCCAGTGGATGCTGCTAACTGCAGCACTGCTGGCTTTCAGGCAGCTGGAACTCCTGGGCAGCGTTAACGCCACTGCATTTGCAAAAATTACGGACGTCACTGTCTGACTCAATGTCACATACTCCAGGGAACTTCCAGGCATCCAAGAGAAGGGCTGAAACTGGCAAATCAATCCACRTGCTCCCCCAGAGGAACAAATGGTGGCTAGAACCAGGCTAGTTTTTCATTTTTTGTTCTTCCCTCTGAATGGAGAAGAGCTCCAGTTATCAAATGCCCTGCTCTCTCCTTAGGAGATCATATTGGCAACAGTACAAAACTGCTTTGCTTCTCAGCCCACTTGAGAATGATGCATGTGAAAGTATCCAGTTATTCTGGATGGACTGGTCCATGCATCCAGCCATTTATCTCCAGGGTAGCAGTTGGATCAGAAAACACGACATTTTTCCATGCAAGATTTTTCTATGTGCAGCTTCCCTTTTGCACTTATGCTTCTTATTAAAAAAAGATTCCCTTACCTTGATCAGTACCCTGGACTGCACAGGAAGCAGCACAGAACAAGTTTTAGAGATGGTAAAAATCAAATAACTGCTTTGAGTGATTTGGGATTTACGGGATTGTTTCTTACTGTGAAAACTTGCGTTTGGAACAGTGCAGCGTGGGATTTGCCCTTTGCATACCAGTGAATAAGTCCTCATGTCTTTGAAAGCCTCCTGGAGACTGAGAAAAGCTTCATATATTTTAACTGCTGACAGCCTAATACAATGTGGCAGTGAGAAGCTGCTGATGTGCACACTCCATGGATCTCCCCCGGCCTGGTGGGGCTTAGTGTTCACGGTGCCTCTGGCCCAGAGCAGGGGCTTTCGCACCTGGGGGAAGCCCAGAGCTGCCCCTCTGCCCTACACAGCACCCCATGGAGCTGACATCAGTCTCCTTGCATCTTGCCAATCCATGGTTCAAGCACTGCTGAAGAACCTTTTCCTCCTGGCCAGGATTTTTTTGCTTCCTGAACCTTCTAGCTCTGTCTCTTCCCCTTTACCTGCATTTGCAGCCTGTAAAATTTTTAAGGCATCCAAGTGACTGAGGTGGTCAGTGTAACACATTTCTAAAAGGCTTCGAAGCTTTTGGAAATCCACTGTCAAATCTTGAGAAAAGCTGTTTCATTATGTACCATTATTAAATGTACTTTTACTTTGGAAGTGATTGGAAAGCTTGGGTAGGGGGAAATGAGCTCTGATGTTTATAGAGACAAGAATGAAGTGCTTCCAAGGTATTTTTCCTCCATAAAGTGTCCATAAAGCCAAGAAAACATTTTATTCTCTTGTAAGAAGCCATTTCCTAGCCCAAATCCAGCAAGGATGTTACCTCTCAAGACCTGGGCTGCCAGGGAGAGGTTGCCCTGTAAAGGGTGAGTGCCACAGGATGGAATATATCAAGGGCCATTTCCCCTTTCTCCAATCCCAGGGAGCTGGAGCAAAGATGAAAGGCAAAAAGCAGCAAAGCCCACGCTTGCTACCACCTCATTCTCTGCCTGCATCCCTTCCAGCCCTGCAGACTCCTCTGCAGCGCTGGGAGTAAGTGTGGTTCAACACTCACTGCATTCCCTTTATTAATTTGTATGCTCATACAGTGCTAATAACAATGGAGTACAATGAAAGATAGCACAAAAGCCTTAAATTAAATACAGCCTTTCCAGTGTCTCAGTGGGGTGGCAGACAGGCATATATTTCCAGCTGCCTTTCAGCAATGCCATTAATAAACCATATTTATTTTCCTGGAAAGGAGAACTGCTGGGACATCCTTCTGTTTTGAGAGCAGAATCACATTCAAAGTCCTTAAATCATTGTTGGACATAGGTGTGAAGTTTAGCTTGGAGAATTGCAACTGCCAGAAAGTCTGTGGTCTTCTACCTTATTTCACTTCCCCTTTATACAGTTTTTCTTAGTTGGTGTCCATCAATTTACATGCTGTTCTAGTTAATAAGCAGCATTGTCTTGTATGTGTTTATGTGTTTATGTGTTTAAAGCAATCATTCTTTCTCWGCATTTGTCTTTCCCTAGTGATTGACTCAGACAAACACTGCACCAAAACATGACTGATTTCTGGGAGTTTTTGCTCCCTGAAGTACATTTGGACTGTGGAGTGGCCAATGTAAGGAGAAGGATTGAGCTCAAGTCCAAATTACACTGCTTAGATAATACAGTCTCAGATAAACAGTCCAAGTTCTCTTAACGTTCCCCATTTTCCTTATTTTTCAGAATGTTTATTATTTTGATTTTTCCTTAAGATATCTCTCCAACTTTTCTCTGGCTTCCCTTTAAGAAGGCCAGGAAATTAGAGACCCAACAGCCTCTTTCAGAGAATTATTAGTGACAGTGCCACTAACTCATTTGCCAAGAAATTGTTTACCTACAGAGAATAAATCTTCAGCTTATTTTTAACAGGAAAATCTTTGCTAATATAATGCATGATGAGAACTCGTGTTTCAAGAGAAATTTATGTTCTAAGATTGAGTTGCTGGTCATTCTGAGAGTCTGACATGAACAGAGAAGTATTTACACAAAAAGGTCACAGTGATGATGTAGCACCTAATTGGGTTGTGTTATTGGTCTGTAAATGGCCCTTGAATGGGTAACAAAAATGTGACTGTTTTGTTAATAACTGTCTGGAGAAGTAGAACTGCACTTTTTTTTTTCATATAAGCAATTTAAGTTGGTAGAGAATTGTGAAAATACCAATTTAAATGAAACTTCAGGCTAAATCATTATATATTTTTTACAATTGAATGTCAAACTGTAATACAGAGCAAGCACTATATTATGTAAGTAATCTTAAGATGCAGGTTGCTCAGGACTGAATGTCGTCTCCTGCTTCCATTGAAGGATTTGTACGTTGTAGGTAGCTTCAACCATTCAATAATAGSTTCTTCTTTCAGTTACTGCAAAAGTGTAATCAAAACTGGGTGTTAGGTTCCCCATAAGGATTCTAATCTAAAGCGGAGCTTCAGCAGCAGCAGTAAAGCTTGCAACAGAACTCTGAATTTTTCTGTGGGAAATAGGTAGGACCAGGGCTCAGGTTACTTGGATTAATTTTCCAGCAAAGTTAAGCAAGCCACATTTCCCTCTTCTGTGAATCAAGCATTGTAGTAGTCATGATCCTTTTCTCTCTGATGCGTTAGAGCTCCTCAGATGGAAAGTGCTAAACAAAATTGAAATATTATTTGAAATACATTAGTGTGAATCAACACAAAATCAATAGCAATGTCTTGAATACTTAGAATTTGCAAACCTTCTTCAGTTAAGTCTTCTGAGTTCAAGTTCATGCATGTAGCATTGGGCAGTGCTGGGCATTGCCGAGTAAATAGCTGAACAGTTTCAGATGAGTGCTGTCCCAATTCCCAGCATTCTCTTCCCATTTGTGTTTTCAGTCAGATGTTTATCCGAGTCTCGACCTCAATGTTTAGAGATATTTTAACCTTGCAAACAAAATAACGGGGACCTCTGGTTGTTGTCATTAGAAAATTGGCTGCGATGGAATCATTGGCTCAGCTGCCAAAGAGGATCGCTGTGGAGTCTGCAGTGGTGATGGCAAAACCTGTAAAGTGGTGAAAGGCGACTTCAACCATACCAARGGGATGGGTGAGTAACCCTCAGCAGCATTTCAGTGTAGTCAAACTGTCTTAACTCCTTGAGGAGAACCAAGAGGTAGTGATAGTCTTCTTTTTGGATAGTRCTTGACTTACCTGCTAGGGTAGACATATAAAACCTAAAATTGTAGGTTTTGTTGTAGATGTCTGTAAATGGTTTGACTGTTTAGGACATTTTACTCTTATGGAGAGAGGTAGGAGACCTAGCACCACTTATTTTCCCAGTTTCTTTCCAGTTGTGATACCAGGAAATATGCTGGGAAAATAATCCAGTGGGAGTTCAGTGARAAGATGCTCAAGAATAAGAACGTTGACTCTACTTTTGCTAAATGCCCCTGGTTGTCGTCTTCAGTAGCTAGCTATGCCAGGATAGATAAGCAGCAGTCAGTCTTGTCACTTGCTGAGCCCCTTTTCAGGTGGTAAGTTGGAAGTGTTGAGAACTTCCTGGGATCGGGCCTAATGTGTCTGTGCAGCTTCCAAAATTGTTTCTTACATGCACATGTGTGTGTGTGTGTGTGTATGTATATATATATATATATATATATTAATACATATGTAAAACCAGGGCACGGAGCAAAAACCAGCTCATTTCAAATGTGATGTTCTCTTTGCTTCCTCTTCCATTGTCCAGGTACCAGCCATTGCGTCTGTTTGAAATCCAGATTGAAGTTATATTTCTCATTTTGAATGCTACTAGTGCTGTTGATTTTAAATAGAAAAGATGACATCATAGTGTCTTCTCCAGTGGGAGGAAAATCTGATTTTAGCACCATCTTTGAGCTCTTTGGGATCTCAGAATGATGCATGTTGTATGTTCCAGATGATTCATGTTATAATCAGTAGACCTCAGCTTAATGAGAGAGACCTCCGCTCTGAATATTTTTCCTGACTCCCTGCCAGCAATAGATTAGTAGAGGTTAAAAGAACTTCCATCTTTGCCCTCTCTTGTTATACATGAATGCATGTACAGCTTTGTGTTTGAATTAATCTTTATTTCAGAGTTTCCTTTCTGGTCTTGTGAGAAACCTGTTATCACTCATCCTAATCAGGCAAAGGGAGAGAAGCCTGGATTTGGGACTTGCAAGCTGCTCTAGGAGGAAGGAATTGTCCAGAAAGAAATGACCTTTCATTCGGAGAATGCAAAATTGCCATTTGCACATGCAGGAATACATTCAACACATGCTCCTACAGGAACAAATTCAACTAAGCACATAAAGACCTGCTTTAAGCACATGCTTCTGTTTAGTTGGTAGCAAAGCAGCACAAGTGCCTAGCAGCGTTCTTGAATCAGGGTCCCAGCACTGAAGTCTGGGGCTCTTAYTGTGTTCATTGATCTCTTCTGGTGCACCTCCTTTACCAGTGGAGCCAACCGTGACCAGTCATATCCCCTGAGGTGTGGGCAGGCTTTCCCACCTCGGTGGATATTTCAGGAGCACATTTGCACGACTGTATTGCTAGGACAGCCTGTTGAATGATTCCCATGAGCTTTTGCCTGCCGTGCCCTAATTGGCTTTCACCTACTTATGGCAAGAAATTTGCATTTAGTGCAAATGGTATAAAGGATTTCTCATTTGCACTGAGAAGACTATTATCTATGTTTGTAGCATGTCTTACAGCTGTTCATGAATTTCTTATTTGCTCCTGGAGAGTAGCCACCTTTTATCTTGTTCAACCAGATGACAACCAGAATACAGACTATGTTTTGATTTATTGATTAATTTTAATGAAAGTCTTGGGCAGTTGAGAATACACGACACAAATATGGTAGCAGATTCAGGGCCTGGGTACRTAAAGGATTGCACAAGTCGGTGACAAATTCCCAGGAATTTGCTGCAGTCTAATTGAAGGCCAACATGACACATCCAGTATGCTGATTTATTGCAGGAGGGATTAGCAATCAAGTCTCAAGATGTTGATAGTTATGGAGTGGTGTCTGTTTTGAGAGCCTCCTGCAAGTGGAGGCTCCACTGACAGCAGGATTGGTCCCTGTGTGTCTTGTGACTACAGATCATGTTCTCGAGCACTATTTAACTGAACTAAATCCATGCCAACTCCTTTCTGTTTCTTAGTAACCAATAGTCATTGTAAGAAGGTTTCCACGTGTGTGATGGCAAAGGCAAAGGCTGTTCCCAAGTGTTTCTCGTGTAAGATACTTGAATGCTGTTTGCAGTGTTGTTGGGTGTTGGTGACATCCTTTGGTGTTGGTTCTTTGCTTTCTTTTCTTTTTTTTTCTTTTTCTTTTTCTTTTTTTTTTTTTTTTTTGCATTAATGAAAAGATTGTTATCAAAAGCCATGGATAGACTTGAAATCCTTTTACTGTTCAGCTTGGTTTGTCGAAAGTGTTAGATAAAGGTCCTTTCCCTCTAGAAAAGTTATCTCAGTGAAGGAAAGCYGAATTTCCATTAATTGGGTGAAAAAATACAAGATCTAGTTCTCTTTTTCCTCAGTAAGACAGTGCCAGATTTTGCAAGGTTCTGCCACCAGGTTGGGCCGGGCAGTGGAACCTTCAAAGTCCCTCCAAAGGGATCCCACAGTGGAGACCTTACCAGTCCATCCCAGTTTACRTGGCACTGTCCCTCTAGTACAGGGCAGCCAGAACCATACTCGTTCAGTAACCAACTTATCTAAATTATCTAATAAGATAATTAGAAGATTATCTAATCTTCTAATAATTTATCTAGTGGCTACTAATAAGATACCTGTCCAGACTCTGAGACTGTTCCTGTAATACTCAGAGATCTGCTTTAAAAATGAGATGTTTTCCCACTACATGTCCCACTGCATCTCTATTTTTTTTCAAGAACACCAAGATTTTCATTGCTGCTCTTTTCAAAAAAAAAGACCACATGTACTTAGATTTATTTTTAATGGCAAACGTAATAAAATGGGATATACCATTTACTGTAACTAGGATTTTGGAGACTAAGTCTTCACTAGCCTTTTTTCTGAAGATAGTTAGAAAGCAGACTACTTATTTTGCTGGCTGAGAACATCTTTAGCCAGTGCAAGAAATTCTGTTGATGTCAATGTCTTGTACATTGAAATGCTGAGAAAATGGAGCCCCATGAATAACTCGAGGTGTCTTCTCAGGGTTTCAGAGCATATGGGTCAGAAATTATTGCAAGGAACAACTCAGCGATAGTAGGAGGCTTTGAAATCTATCCGTGACTTCTGTATATTTTTTTGTTCCAAGCCAGCTATCCCATGGCTGGAAGTGGACAATGTGAGTAGATGCCYATGGAGGAGTTAAGCTAAAAGCAAGTGAAAATCATCACAATCTTTGGCTGCTGAGAAATTGAACATATTGTTAGCAAGGACATATTTCCACAACACTGCAACAATTAGCACTCAGCAAATGTGGTGAATGGTCCTGGAGCCTGAGATGCCCAGCTGGTTCTCGTCCCTCAGACACAAGGGATGCTGCTTYTCCAGCAGGTTCATAGTACAGCCTAGTTCCTTGGCTACCAGCTTGAGAACTTGCATTGAGACACCTTCTGGAGCAGGGTAACGGGATGAGCCCTGCTGCCTTTCTCATGCCCCAACAGTCATGTCCATACAGAAAGATAGGATGGTTCAGTGCCCAGGATCAATACTTTCAGCCCAGGGATCAATACTTTCAGCCATGGGATAATTTCTCCTTTACCTCAGAGTCCACGTTTCACTCAGATCCCAACCAGGAGAACAGCTCTGTAATAGATCGGTGACATTATGAAATTCACACTAAACTTTTCTCTTTCTGGGAATAATAACGATGGCTAACAATGGGTTTTCCTGTGTGAGCTGCCTTCCTCTTGCAAATCTCTCCAGCATTTAAATGAAGATACAGTAGCCACTGTTCACATATTAATCTGCTTGATGACAAAGCCACCTCTTTGTTCTGGTGTCTCTCCTAATACGAGTTACACCATATAATTTGTATCTAGGATTTGCTTCAATCACAGTCTTACATTCCTGAGACACTGATGTAATGCAGATTATCCAGAAAGATTGGTGCGTGCCAAAGTAACTGTTCCCAAGGTGGAGTATACTACATACAGCACTATAAATTATCAAATAATGAAGTTCTCCTGTTGTACTTTCAAAGCTTCATCTTAACAGGGTGATTTATGGGTGAAATTACTAGAAATATTGCTTGATAGTTGCCAAATCTCATCAGTCTTTAACCAGCTCCTCATTTAAAACAGAGCTTTAAACCCAACCTTGCAAACTCCTGCATTGCAGACAATTATCCTAAGACCTAACAGATCTCTGAGAGTCGTTGACTCCGGGCCAACCCTGAGACTTTTTTTGGTTGTACTAGCTGACACTTGATAATCTTTCTGGCAATCTGCAGTTACAGTTTGCTTAATAAAACGTGCCTGGAAAACAATGGGGATGTTTTCTAGGGCAGTTATCTCAAAGATCAGGAATATTCTGTGACCGGCAGCCTGACACTAGCTCTGTGCACCAGACTAGGGTGCTGATAGCAATCTGAGTTGATGCCTGTGGCAAAACTGCACGGCTGGTGGATTTAATATGTTTGCGGTCGGGTTTGACCACTAACTCGCACAGTCTTGCTGGAAACGGTGACTAAGAGTGTCAAGACACTTCCATGGGACATGCCCAAGAATCCTGTCTCGCCTCTGAATGGACATTTCAGATCCCTGCAACTGCAAAGTGGTTCTCAGTTCGCTGCAGGAAGGGAGAGCTCAGCAGTCAGGTTTKTGCCACGTGAGCTCAGTGAGCTGCTGTAGCGCCTTCGTGTTCAGGAGCTGTGAACGCAGCCCCCCAAAGCCATCAATCAGGATTAGAAATTACACGAGGAGAAAAAMCTGGTACGGGACCAAACTAAACAGTCTTCAGAACTAATACCCTATTAATAGCTTATATTCCACTATTTACCATTGTAAAAAGTAACATAAAAGTCAGCTTTTCCACGTGGAGTTTCTCTCATGGCACAGTGATGAAATCCGAGCGTATTTATGGCGCTCGCTGAGTCTCGGGTCCGGCTCCACGGCTCGCTCCCCTCGGAGCCGTGGGACACACGGGACGGATGCAGAGTTCACTGAAGTCAGTGCTTGGTTTTCCACTAAGTTCAGTGTAATTTTGTATCCAGCCCCACAGGATTTACCTGTGGGTTTTTGCATCTGCCTTGTGATTAAAAAAGCAAGTGAGAAAGTAAATAGTCCCCCAGCAGGTATGTTAAATGACCTGGAACTTGGGCATGTTCCAAAGTGGCTTCCTAACAGGGGTATTGAGGGGTGTCACAGGGCCTGTTTCACCTTGGTGGCCTGTTGTTAATCACACCTTTGCTGGGTGCTCATATCTGCTGGTAACTGTTGGTCGGGTTTATGTGCAAATGCACAGGGGGCAATAAGGGTGTTTTTCTCCTAGGATGCTCTATTTGATTGTAATGTAGTATCTCAGCCAATAAAAAAACAACTCCTGGCAATGTCTAAAGTAAAATCTGATATCTGTTTGCTTTGACTTTATAACAGATTTCATTGTTGCCTTCAAAAAACCACCCTGGACATGGTAATTGTTCCCAATTGAAGCCCACTCTGTAGTAGCAGAGGGCAGAGCTCTTGCTTTGACCCCTTCATGGGGACAGAGAAAGAAAAGTGAGATCAATCACCTAAAGGAGGTACCAAGTTATACAGAGCAAAGTAAATTGAAAGAATCCAATCATGGTTGCAGTAAAATTAGCCTCACTTAGGGGGGCCTGACTCAGACCCAATGAACCCCTTAGAAAAACACTCCCTGACCCCCAGGCCTTTGAAATGGCCCGAATGCCCCTCGGATATTGTGTATAAAGGCAGCACTTCCACCCTGTGGAACAGGAGCGTAACTCCAGATAGGCCTGTGGTGGGGGAAGTAGCCTGCATTTGCTCGTAACTCCTAACCATTCGTTATGTTACTCTGTGAGTCAAAAGTGGTATAATTATATCACATTGCTGGTTGTTGTAGGGAGTATGAAGAGGCCAAGAGAACTTCAGAAAGACAAAAACCAAGAGAATTCTATAAAAATGTGATGAGGCTGCTGTAAAAGCTTCCCTACTGTGGCAGCTGCTCAGATGGTTCAGTTTGGCTGCGTGCTGCTGGCAGGGTTTCGAGGCGACTGGTGGCCAGTCCTGCAGAAACTTCCAGCTCTCTTGTTGAAGGAAATCTGAGCTGTGGAATTGTGCTTAGCAGCCCAATGTGAGGAGACTGTCAACCATAAAATCCTGCAGAATTTTTGTATAAAGCTCATGTGTAAATGAAAACAAACTTATTTTTCCCTGTTTTTCCCGCTGATTCTTGCTGTTTCATTTTAGCTTGGCCCACGTGTTTTGTGGTGAGGGGCTTTCACCTCCCTGAGAAGGTTTCTCTGGGAGGGGAAATAAAGAGCATCTTTTGGGAACAAAATTTCAGATTACAGGTATCCTAATCTGTAACATGCAGCGTTGTTGCTGACCGTGATGCTTTGTACCAGCTCTGAGATGGTCCTCCTGCATCCCTGTCAGTACCCAGAAGAGCCAGGCTGATGCAAACGAAGCAAATCTCATTAGGCCCAGGCACAAGCCTGAAGGCAGAGTTACGCAGCACATGTGAGTTTGCTCCCTCTTCTCAGGCTGAAATAACTAGTCATAGCCATGCAAGTCACAAGAGTGAAATTTGGCTGTCACATCAGGGACCATTTAAAGTGTTTCCCACCATTCCCCAACCTGGGCAGGAGTTGCTTTTTCTTGGTGAGATACGGAGTGGTTGATGCTGTGGGACTGTGGCAGTCAGGGGGATGCTCTCACCCATGTGCCCTTTTGTTGCCACAGGTTACATCGAAGCAGCCGTGATCCCTGCAGGTGCCCGACGGATCAGAGTGGTTGAGGATAAACCTGCTCACAGTTTTCTGGGTAAAAAGAGACAAAAGAAAAAAAAATGTTTTTAATTCAAAATTGGGCTGTGTTYTCTGTTAAAATGAGCTCTGTTTCTTTCTCTAAATGATGCACAAGATGACAGATTTGTTGCTGTCAGGAAGTGGCTGTTGCTTTCATGCTTGTTGCAATTGCTCCCTGCTTTTGTGGCTTAGTTTCAAGGTACTGGTTTGATGTGAAAACACATGATGTTTACAGGCTCTGCAAACCTGGAAGGACCACAGAATATTGTATATGGGCAGCAAGGTCCCTTAGCAGCACTTGCCATTGTGTTGCACACAGCTGCTAGGAGCACAGAGGTATTACTTGATGCTGTACCCAAAGCCAGATCCTGCAGTCCAGGTTGGGCAAGTTGCAGCCTCTGGTCCACTTGCCTGTATTTTCTCAGGCCAAATGGTTGGTTTAATCCTCTCATTTCTACTTCTGCAACACTCATGAGGTTAACAGGCTTCCTGTCCTCCTTTGCCCTTTGGACAAAACAGTTTTAGCCCTACATGGGTATATTGTTCTAGGGCAGGATCTGTGAGCAAATTCATTGTCCACTTATCAGCCACTCAGGTGAAGGATTGGATGGGCATTTCCAAAATGCAGCTAATGACATTTGCGTCTGTCAGCCTGATCATCTGCCTTTCATCTCAAAAAATCAAGTGTTCCTTATGTGCTTACTGTGCAGTATGTGAAGTCGTTTGTCTCTGTGATAGATTAAATGCTTTGTCTCCTCTCTGGAGAAACCAAGTCTTAGAAATGCTCACATCCCACTGCTCTGAATTCTCACAGGAAGGTTACCCAAGATCCGAAACGAGACTCCACACCTTGAAATATCCTTTGCCCGCTCTGTGCTGCATGGTCACACTTCAAGGGGGTTCTTTTGCCTCTCTTGAATTCTTCATTCTGTGGAGCTGTTCTCTGCGGGAAGAGGAAAAGAAACAGAGAACTCCCCCAAATACTTCTATACATAGTGAGCTTTTGCAGCTCGCAGTTCCCTGCATTGTCAAATGCAGGTGTTTCTTGTTGTTGATAAGTTCTTCAGCACATATATATTCTCCTTTGATACCGAACAGTGACTCTGCCCTTCCTCACACTGATGTTCTGGTTGCAGGGGTTGGAACAGATGCGTGTTCCAGCTCTCCCCTGTCCTCGGGAGTATCATCTGCGCACTGGGACTGTTCTCACTTGAGCCTGTTCTGGTTCTCCAAGGTGAGGTTCTCATGTTGGAGATGTTGATGGGTTTTAGGGTACAAAAGCCCTCTGAAAGACAGAACTGTTTCCAGGCCTGTGGTAAGGACTCAGAAAGGATAACAAGTCTTCTTACCTTTTGTCCTCCTCTCTTTTGCAGAAGGGGAAACTGAGGTACTATGATTTGCTCATGGTTGCACAGTGAGTCAGTAGCAAAGCTCAGACTAAATTCTGGTTTCGTATTTCTGTTTGTCKTCTTTATAATCCTCCTCCACTTTGCAGCCAAGAGGAGATATCGGTGTCTGGTAAAAGGATATAGGATGCTGCTGAAAACATTTACAGAATGRTTTTGTCTTAGGATTTCACGTCTAATCCTGGTAGTTTTCTGTCTTGAGATGCCACCAAAGCTGGCAAAATCMCAGATAAAGATGCTTCTCATCTCTTGTCTCATTCCAGCTTTGGGGGAAAGAAAGAAGGGTGAATTACATCATTCAAGAGCCCTTGGGTTAAAGCATTGGCATTCATGACACTTCTTGGTGGGAAGTGTATATTGCTGCTGCTCCTATTTCTGCAAATGTTGCAGCCAGATTGCTGGAGAGGATTACGCCTACCTGGAAGATATTTAACGTARCAAAGCACTGGTGGAACAACGAGAACCAGTGTTTCCAGAATCCAGCATTCGGCTTTCTGGAAGCCAGCCTTTTGGTTTGTCTTGGTGGGATTTGCACAGAGTGTATGTCAGAAGCTCAGGCTTTGGTAGATAGATAATCTGAGAGTTAGTCACTGCTGCTAACTGTCTGTTATGACCACATAACCTTGACTTAAGCAGATATCTTTCCACTGAATGGTAGATCAAGACTGCGTGTATACCTGAAAGCAGAATTTGTCTCCGAATATCTGACAAAGAGATAGTAATTCTTGTATGGTTCTTAGTTGAACACAACAAGTGGTAATCTGCTCATTTTAAAGCTTCCATGTGCTTTCAGATCTTAGATTCATTGTTAGGAACCAGGAGAAACCCTGGGCTTTCAAAAGTTTTCTCATTCCAGGAACACTGGACACAGAGAAAAGGTAGCTGASGAATGGCAGCAGTAATGTTCCAGCAGGACAAAAAATAGTGACCCAAGGAGCTAAATCCAGTCACTGCTATGCCCCAAGATGTATAGTAAGTGCGGGTCTGACCACGGAAGGATTTCCTATCTCAATTACGCTGACAAAGTTGAGCCTAATCAGACCCAATTTCCAGTCAGGTACAGTGCTTTGGAAATGAGCCCAGTGTAATTTGGAATCATTATTCCATGTACTGGGAGCTGTGCCTGAAGAATTTCCCTCCACCTACAGTCAACCTACGGTGGCTGCCTTGGCTGGCTGTAAAGCTTAAAACCCACCTTGAACAGGAAATGCCTCCACRGTTTGTGTCCACAGGCTGGGATCAAGCTGCAAGAACCCAAGGTGGAAATAAAGATCTGACTAGATTCCAGATTTAGAAATGAGTTGGTCAGTTCCTGTCTTCCAGCCAACAAGAAAAAGAGAAATTATGGGTTGTGAGGGTTCCTTTTCCCTTTGCTCCTTACTGAACAGTTTTCAGCCAAAAAATAACCTGGAAATGTAAGAACAGACGGTTGCTACTTCCTAAATGAAACTGTTGCTCCACCGGTGGTTTGATAGGGCTGCATATCATAGACAGTTTTTAGGGAACAGCCTCATGAGGTGCCTTTGAGAACAGGGCTGTTTCTGAGCTCTCCTACTTGTTCACTTAGGCATCAATGCCAGCAGCTGTCAAAATGAAACCTTACACAGAAGAAAGATCACCAAGGATTAAACACTGTTTCTCATCAGTGAGCTGTCTCTCTTTGATAAGCTGGAAGAAGAGCCTACTTGTAGTTACTTGAGCTCTCATAGACTGTTTTGAGCACATGCCTTGGTATCTCTACGTGTCAGCCATACTCTTGTGGAGAATCTTATCTCGAGCGTAGCTCTGATGAGGCGCATTTAGGACTACTCAAGGCCAGTGCAATGGCTGCTTTGATCTGCCTGGAAGCCACGAGGCTTTGGCAGTGGGAAGGAAGCCTGTTTCAGAAATGTGTCTGAAGTTGGCAGAAGGCACTTTGTAGACTGGGAAGAGAAGCAAACTGCAGGCAGAGCTACATTGCAGTACAGTGCAGTACCCGGCTGTTGTCATACCCCCTTATCTGTGTGCCAAAGAGAATGTTTCTCAGAAAGAAAAAAGAATCCCGCCCCCCCACACACACACACACAGATCCTGCTCCTTGGATGGAAACCATAGTTGTAGCTTCCCCTTATCCTTCTTTGGAGACTTTGGAGAACCCCTCATAGGAGCATGAGGGCTATCAGGAAGGTTGTGTACACTAGGATAGAAGCACGTGCCACCTTCCTTCAGTAACTCCTCAGAATGTGAAGTTCTCTCAGGCACACACAGACACAAAGGAGTTTGAGACCTTCATTACTCCAGATTTCCTCCAGGCTGAAAAAAATGAAATGAGCTCTGAAATGCTCCTGGGTGCTGATGCCAGTCTCCATATGGACCACCTATGTACTGCTAATTGCAAAGTCCAGCCTGCTGATCTGTGCTGGGARTTTGGGAGAATTCTTGTTGACCTGGACCATGATCTTTGCCAGGGATCATTTTTGCAGCACAGATGATGCTTTCCAGGTGCCTGGGAATGAGGCTGAGCGCTGAAGATGCAGAGGGAGCTTTCAGTAGTGCTCAGTGCTGGATGTTTCAGGTGTGTCTTCTTACCTACCCCAGCCTTCCTGGAATCTGTGGAGCTTGCCATGTTGAGCTGAGCAGAGCAGCTTTTCAGGAAATCCTCCAAAGGGAAGTCTCGCTGGGATTTCCTTCCTCCTGAACCTTCTGTGACGAAGGAAGGAGTTGGCCCCTAGCTTCTTGAGAGACCCTTCAGTGTAATAGCTATATAGAAGGWGTTAAATATACATTAGCCAACCAGAAGGGAAGGAAGGTCTATACTAACAGCTGGGTGCTGCAAGCACTCCTCACCATTAATTAAACCAAGCTGATGAGTCAGTGTTGTGCCATGGGCAGGAATCCCACTTMCCTGCCTCCTAGGTATGCTATGGAATTGTACATAGCCTAAGTGTAGGCTAGAAGGGTTTGCTGGCTGTGGGGACATGGTCCAGGGGGATGACAGTGGAGATTTTCCCATTGACTTCAAAAGGCTTTAAATCAACTCTTCKTACCTTCTCCCAACACACTCACTTAAGTGAAAGCCAAGGTCTTATTTTTAACTGGGAGAGAATAAAATAGGCTTGAAATGCTGGAGGTTAAGAAAACATCTTGTTAAAGGCTTAGCCAAGAGACACAGTAAACCTTGAACTAAGGAAACCCAGAAACTGAAAAACACAGACTATCCTGTCTGATGTCTAGGCAGATTCGATCTGTGAAACACGGGTCTCCTCAGAGGGCGCCTGCGACTTTCTCTGTTAGAACAGGGTCTGCCAATTTTCTTTTCACTCAGCACATCACACAGACATCTGAATAATTTTGCTTCCCTAGTAATGTGGAGAGCACAGAAATCCCTAAATGACCTGCACTGGCAAGTCACAGCACTGCTGTGTCCTCGTGGCTGGAGTTGAAGAATTTCAGGGATGCTGATGCAAGAGGTTTTTCTGGAAGGGAGGACRTGATACTGCAAGGATCTTTCCTTGTAAATAATCATCTTCCTGGGCTTCCTTTCTGCCTCTGGGTTTGCATTGTCCTTCTTGCTCACGTGCAGAGGCACTTTGAGTAGGGCTGTGGATCAGCAGCAGCTCCAGTTTCGCGTGTGCCTGCAGCTCGTGCACTCTGCAGGGAGGGTGACTCTGGCAGGCTGCTCCTTGCCCACTTTTGCCCTCATTTGTGGCCAGGTTTCCATCAAACCCAGGGCTAGGTGATGTCTTACCTGCCTGTTGTTTTGAGAGCAGATAAGGCATCAGGCAATATGCTGAGCACCAGCACCACTTCTGCTGTAGCTTTGTAATGCCTCGCCAGGCTCTGAGCTGGCACAAAGCCTCTGGAATAATTCAGAGCAACCTGTGCTCACTTGAAATTATGCCTGTAGCTAGTGCTTGCAGGTTGGAATATTTTGCCCTCTAGGCCTGAGCATAAGATGGTATTAAGCTGATCTACCAAGTTTGCTTTCTGCCTACTGGCCAGTGTTCTTCCCGGTAGAGTTTAGAGGTAAATTATCTATAAATTCTACTCTAAATTAAATTCTATAAATTCTATTCCAAAAATATCTATAAATGTTAATTCGTGAAGTTCTGAATACATTTTATACTAAAAATAGAAATAAAAATACTAAAATACTAAAAACTAATACTAAATACTATTTAATACATTAAAAATACTAAAACCTTAGCTATACCCCTATATGTGACATTATTGCTGCTTAGTAACAAGGTTAATATAGTGAGATATGCCTTCATTAACTTCAATACAAAATATGCCCAAATTAGTGACTAGTCAGCTAAAATTATGTTCCATTTTTCTTTTAAATGCTTGTCTGTTACGAGACTACTGCATCATGTGCTTCAGGTGAGCTGAGACAGAAGCTCAATGGTCTGTGTTGTAATTACAGATTTGCTTTCATTTCRTCCCATGGTGTTTGATTCTTTCCAGCTTTAAAAGATTCCAGTAAGAGATCCATTAACAGCGACTGGAAAATTGAGCTTCCTGGTGAGTTTCAGATCGCAGGCACTACTGTCCGGTACGTGCGAAGGGGTCTGTGGGAGAAAATCTCTGCCAAAGGACCAACTAAAATACCACTACACTTGATGGTAACTTTATATCCTTTGTTTGTGTTTCTTAAGTGATGCAACATAAAGGGTTTATATCCTAGGTTGAAGTTAAATTTTGCCTGTTTGCTTCCTCACAACTTTTTTTCAAAGCTATCCTGTTGTGTTCTCCTCACATTCTTTTGCAGCAGTGCAAAAGCTGGAAAAACCCAGCTTCTTACTTAAAAACAACTGGAGCCCTATTCTAGGAGAACAAATGGTGTCCCAGTAGACTGTCCTCCAAGAGAGGACCCTCCTCTGATGTGCCACAGACAAGGTCTGAAGTCCATTCTGAAGGATATAGGTTTCCACAGACATACCCACTCCCACACACAGAAAGGATACATGACCTGAACACCTCTGCTTATGCCAGAACATATTCTATATTTAAATACACTGCTGATCAAACAGGCAGTGTGCTGATTTTGTATGTATAGAGGGCATGTGTGAATTTGACCTTCTGCAGTGACTTATTTTCACACAGAAATGATCTTATATAGAGAGAGAGCAGAAATGCTCTTTTATATATATTTATATTTGTATATATATTCATATTTGTATTTTAACATGTTACTGAAAGTCTTTGCTAAGGTTCAGCATAATCCCTTTATTAACTGGGCCTGTTGTTTTGCGAACAGTCGTGTGGCTGAGCAGGAGAACATGGGTCAAAACTGGGCAGGGGTCAGAAGAACAGGATTCAGGTCCYGGGCTGACACTGACAGGGGATGTGGAGACCACAGGCCAGTCCTTCTGGTTACCTGAATGTTTCCAGCTCTAAGACAAAATAATGTCTCTCTCAGATGAGTGCTATTAGAACTATACTATTTGAATGTGTGCACAAAGTTTCTACAGAAAAGAAAGTGTAAAAACACACAGTGTTCTAAATAATGCATTGTTTCCTGTAACTTCTTTAATGTCAGTCATCCCTTCTGCAACCAAAACTATGACAAAGTATTTTGTACCACCAAAGTTAGCCTAACGTCCACTCATTATGTAAGAGAAAGGAGTTGCATTGGTACYTTTGGGAATGATGCTGTGCAGGATCCCTGTGTCAGCTCCAGGAATTTTCCAAGGCATTTCTTGGTTGAGGTTTATTGCAATAAAATCTATTGTCAGTGTTTTGCAAACTTCATTATCAGTAGAGCTATTTTTAAAGAAATACTTTAAATACTTTTCCCCTTCATTAAGAAGTAACTAATAAAGAAACTAGTGCCGTGAGGTGCTCCATGTGCACCGTTTTCAAGGACAGACTGACATTTTCAGCAGATATGAGCAGAGGAAATTTTCCTTCTTCACCTTTCTTCAGAACTGATTYGGGAAGAGCAAAGTAAAAGTTACCAGGCTGTTAAAAAAAAAAAAAACGTGTAGCTCAAAATCACTATGAGTCATAAACAAAGCACACACAAAGACTTTTGCTCATGGCAGACATTAATCTTTCCCTTGATATAGGATAGCAAGTTTCATTCTGTCAACACAAGAACGGTAGGATGGTTACCAGTTAACTCTAAATGAAAACTGTTGTCCAAATACTGGTGGCATACGCTGGACTGACAGCCACAAGCTTCAGTCTGTCCGTTTTGGCCTCCATTTGAAACTGATTATACATACACACACCTCAGTTATACGTGGCTACAAGATGGCTTGAAATTGATTTCATATGGGCCTTTAGGTGCACTAGTCTTGCTCCCGTATTGAGATAATGAGGTTTTCTTTTTAGGAGCTGGTTTTTAATACCAGAGGCATTTCTCCAAGTGCATTACTGTAAGTATATTTCTTGGAGAACTTAATGTTTGTGTAGCTAGCCATGCACTAGACCTTGTCTTGGCAGCGGAGGACAACCGGACACTCCCAGAGCCTAGAGATGCTTTAGACCTGTCTGGTTCCTCAGTCCCTTAGAACAAGCTGCTCATATCTCATGCACTGCAAGTCAGAGCAGGACTTCAGTTCTCTGCCCCCAGCTTCCTGTCATTTTGAGTTGTGTAAAAAGCTCCATCCTTAAAACTGCAGTGATGGCTAGTTGGCCTCAACCTGGCATTCACTTGCAGTAATGGAGCTTCCTGTGCAGCTGAAAATCTAAGATTTGTGTAACACATCTTCTGGAAGATGCTTTCCTGCCCAGACCTAGACCCTGTGCAGAGTAACTCGAGGGTGTTGAGTGTTGCTGCACAGCGGTCKTCGCACAGGTCTCTGGGGTGTCAGTGACTGCAAGTCAACCTTTTATTTCAGCACCTATGGTTACTTTTGGACTAAATGAGCTTATGACCACTATGGCATTAGTGAGATGCATGGTTAAGAAGGAGTGATTTCTACCAATCCTAGATACAGTCACACAGCCAGAAGCCTGAGTCTGTGTATAAGACTTGCAGAGAACCTGCTCTCCAAAAATCAAAGGTAGATACGATGAGTAACTTGCTCATTCTAGACACTCATTATATAGTTGTTAAGTGGATACAGCGCTGATTTAATGCTGCTCACTTTCTTCCTGTTTCTCTTTTGATAGCCAGCCGCCTGCTGATTGCATTTGAGGCTTACACAAAAGTAATGATTTATGCACTGAGTTCGAGGTTTAGATACCTCCCAAGTGCCGTAAAACCTTAAGCTCTTACTTAGTGCTCTCACAGATGCCCTGTATTACCAGCACCTCTTTAATTTCAGGTTCCTAGATAAAGATTGCATTGCCTTTCATGAGACATTTATGTTTAGAAGCATTGACATTTCATGAGACATTTATGTTTAGAAGCATTGCTAGCATTATTGTCTCTGTATTGTCTTGGCTTTCCCAGTAAACAGTGTGTTGTAACAGCCTTTCTTTCCCTGCTGAACCAGGTGCTGTTATTTCACGACCAGAATTATGGGATTCATTATGAATACACCATTCCTGTAAACTATACTGCTGAAAACAGAAGCGAGCCAGAAAAGCAACAGGATTCTTTGTACATTTGGACACACAGCGGATGGGAAGGGTGCAGTGTGCAGTGTGGAGGAGGTAAAGCCCTTGGGACCTGGGTAGGACTTGCTGTACAGTGTGTGCAGACACCAGCCGTTAGAGAGGTGCCTGCAGAAGACCATGTTGCCACGGCATGAAGGAAACCGAGCCTTGGGAATGGATGTTGCCATAAYGAGCTCAAATGAGAGCTCATTCTCACCAGCTCTCCCAGCTATCATCCACATCCCCACAGTTAATTTGCGCCCAGTGTTTTGGCAGGGATGCCGCTTTGTCGGCTCATTACTGTAGGCTGGAGCTGCACCTGGATTAGAGCCGCACGGATGGCTCAAGGCGCTGTGTGCAGCCCCATATCTCAAGTCTCCGTCAGATTCTTGGAGCAGAGTTTTCACAGGTGTTCGGGCGTATTTGCTGAAAGACACTTCCTTCCCCAGGGATGAAACGGCAGCAGCGCTGCTGTGACAACTGCTGGAGATTGCGTCAGACACTCTCARTGTGGGGCGGATTTTCTAGGCATACGTTTGCACGCTGCAAATCACACTGCTGAGTTACTCCCTAGGATGTGCTGAGACAGATTTGCTGAACCCGGGGGGAAACGATGCCTGTGAAGCTGGAGACGGCTTTGTCAGCCACTGTCCGCTGAGTTTGCACGGCGGGAAGAAGTAGACTTTTCCCTGAGGAAAATGTATCATTTACAACTAGAGGCAATTACATATTATTTTACATGACCTGAGAAGGGAATGCTCATCTTCACATTCGCAGGTCCACTGTATGTTGAAATYAAGGGGTTTGTCTCTCTGTAAATAGATTTTAAAATCAGTATTTTTACTTACCTTTTAAAATAATACTTTTTTGTGAACRTTGAGCTATCACATAAATGACTTGGAAATTTGTGTCTATTTTGTTTTGTATTGCAAGACTGCCACATATTTTAATCAAGTCAGTACTTGGCAACATGTTTTCAACCAGTAGGTGTAGGGATATGGTAGTCAGTCTCATGTGCTTTGGTTATCACATACTTTTTACTGCTTATGCAAGCTGCATTCATTTATTCAGCTTCTCTTTCYGCAGTTTCACCTAAACTGCAATTTCACTTGTCAGTACAGAATTTTAATAACTTTTTTTTTTTTGTTAGTTGTTGCAGATCATGAACCAGCTCGGCTTGTTGTAGATCTAGGGCCACAGAGAAAGAAGCTGCGAAACCAAAATATTTAGCAGCAAGGCAAAGTCACACAGTGCAGGGATGGCATTTTCCGGGTGTTGTGCAGCCCTGTCATGCTGCCCTGCGACACGGCTTTTTTGCTGTCACACAGCACAGTACTGAGCCTTTAGGGCCACCCTGCTGCTGTCCTGGCAAGAGGTGGCTCTCCTGTCATCCATCACCAAGGAGTAACAGTTACGTGCCTCCAGCTCACAGAGCAGGAGCATCTGTCCCAGGTGATGACAGGACACGGCAACGTGTGGAGAAACCAGAAGTGAAGACAGGTCGTTTCCAAGATTGTTTTCACRTAAAACACTAGGAAGAGAAAGCTGAATGTATAGCTGCTGTGGATCCATGAATTTCCCAATTATTGTAGAAGATTTGCAGGTTTTCTGGAAGCAGAAAACAATACATAGGTAAAACAGAAGGCAGAAACAAAATTGCTTGCAGAGGTGCTAGGTCTGCATAGTTTAGCTCTACTAGAGGTAGTAATAAGCTAGCTTATGAGATCTAATTAATAATGAATTAACAGTTAAGTACTGTTTTCCTGATTTTTTGGTGCTGTTTTTATTTGACTGTAGGTGAACGGAAAAGCATTGTGTCCTGTACTCGAATTATTAACAAGACTATGACACTGGTGAATGACAGTGACTGCCAACGAGTGAATCGCCCTGAGCCCCAGGTCAGGAAATGTAACACACACCCCTGCCAATCACGGTAAGGAGTTAAAAGTAATAAAAACCAGTATCCTTTTCTGTCACAAACCACACGTTTCCAAAGGCTCCATCTGGAGAACATGGTGAAGCCATCTGAAGACATTGGGACATATTGTTAGCCACACTGTCCAGCTGCAATACTCATTCTCCTTTTTTGAACAGATCAGATTTTCATTACCTCAGAGTCCGCTTAATTTGTGGCCAGTGAGCTTTGATTCCCTGCAAACTGCTCTCATGCAGTTTGAGAACTGTTTTCTTTTGCCTTTGGCTGCCTCCTGGGGGAGCGAGCAACTTGTGGTACCAAGCTAGACAAGATTGCAGGGACCACATGTCTACTTTTGATGCGGGGATTTCTGTCATTTCATTTTCTCTAAAAGGCCAAAATGAGGAGTCAACAAGAGCGCTTTCTCGGATCTCATGAGCAAAAGTTGTGGCTTTGGAAAGTCRCATTTTCTTGCCTTGAAAATTTATGATTTTCATTCTAAATTGCCTACCAGGTAATTTATAGCCACAGTTCAGTGCATTTATCCCCAGGAGTGCATAGGGGCACAGTGACACTCGTGTCCATTTTTGCCAGAGCAGTGACAACAGGCACCAATTGTACTTGAGACCCGGAAAGGCCGCAGAGCCTTTGCTGGTGATCTGATAGACCACACGCCCTCACCCCCTCCATGGAGACCACACTCTCACACTTAACATGCTGCTGCTTGGACGCATTTTCAGAAGCACATTCCCTGCGCCTCTGTAGAATTTAAAATTCCACTTGCATCTGCCCACCCAGATATTAGAGTTGCATGCTTAGCATATTCTCTGACCAAGAACATCTTAAAGAAACCATTCTCTTTCACCATGTCAATGCTTTTTTCATGAGCCTGAATTTGTTTTAGAGCTTTGAGTAAAATTATTACAGCATTTTGTTACAGGAGGGTCCTTTCCCATTTCTACTCAGACATAAGCCCTTTACCTGAGTGCTCAAGAAGGAACAATCTTTCCTTTCTGTAAATCTGCTCCGTTCTCTGCATTTTATCTGCACTTAGACTTTTACTCAAAATTCAAATAGAATCATCTAACAGAGAATTTGTCTGGGGGGAAAGGTCTAATGGCCAGAGCGTAGGCCTGGGTCACAGGAGACAGTCTCTTTCTCTCTTTTGCATGTGCTGTGCAACTTCTCATCAAGTCAGTAGACTATACTATCCGTTTGCTTTCGCTCTCAATCTATATGTAATTTGGATTGTAAACTCTTGGGATAGGGTGAGATCATGTTGTATAAGTGGAGGAGTAGGCTATTGCTGTTGAAGTTAGAATAAAAAGCAATAACCCATGTTACATATAAAGTGATCTGGAGGAAAAAAAAAAAGGGGGGGGGGTATGATATTAATAACAGTGTCTTTCTTCCAGCACACTCCCAAAGTGCTTTGCAAATTATATAGCCCTTTGAATTTCAGCCACTTCTTGGGAGAGCCAAATAATGTGGGGCAGGGAACAGTAGTTTTGTAAGGCCAAGGAGGAGATTAGAGCTCTGCAACTGCAACCCAGCATCTGAAAAAAACAAAGCAGGACTGAAAAAAGGATTGGATACACTGACATGTTTTAAAACAAAACGTCAGAGTACAGAATTTTCTTTTTTTGTTGAGGGTTTTGTTGAAACTGGCAAAAATAAAAGAATCTTTCATTCTTTATTATTGTTACTCTTTCACCTTTTCAAAAAATGCCTCTTTTTCTTCCTATTTTATTCTTTATGTTCCTTGACCCTCTTTTTCCATTAAATTCTTTACAGCTTCCTTTCCTGTCCCAACTGCACCCTATTAGCACCTCTTTATTCTAATCCTTTCCCTAGCTCTTCAGATATTTTTTACAAAACCCTGCTGTAACCAGATGGAATCTGGATTCTTGCATGCGGTGTGTATGGGTTGTTTCCAGCACGCTGAACACCAACCCAAATATGTAGGCAAACCCAGCACTCACGTTGGCACAGGACTCAGAAATCACAGATCACATCAGCTGTTATTACTGAAAACATAGGTCGGCCAGTGGCCACACACTTCAACATGCATGGTTGGGTCTATGAGTATGAAACTGCTCCATTCTGGTGCAGAACAAGAACCCAAAACACTGAAATGTCCCAACTGTTGAACTTGTAGCAGTCAATATGCTAACACTGTTAGTCTTCCTCCTTTTTGTTACAATAGATTTCATAGAGTTTGAATTCTTTTGGGGCCTGCTGAATATGTACTGTTCCTACATAATGGCTTCACGGCAGCATGAACAGTCAGAAATCTCTGCCTTCATCTACAGAAATCTACAGGGGACCTGAATTCTTTTTATTATCTAGGGCTTGAAAGGACTTCCCGAATCCAGGAGTTAGGCTTGTGCTATTACCAGCAGCGTGGCATAGATGTCTTTCCGTAAGACCAGTTGCACTCCAGTTTGTCCAACTGAGGGAGTCTCCTTCCCTCAGTGGAAGGCTCTCCTGTATCCCTGCTGTTCTTGTGGGTTGAGATCTTTTCAACTTTAGTTTATTCATTGCCTCTTTTCATCCATTTATTCCTGTGCAGGACTGTTCCTTAGCTCATATTACACCCCACCCTCTCTAGCTGTCATCCTTGTGCTGAGTGCCTTATGACACAGCAACCAGGGTTATCTCCCCCTTCCATCCTGTTCCTGGGCTAGTTATATTACTCTTCCTTGAACTGCTTGGACGAGGAGCTCTTCATTCCTTCAGTCACTTTCTCTACTAGTGCTCTAATCTAAATTCATCATTCAATGCATAGATGATCAGAATTGTACAGAGTATCCCAAGCTAAGACTCATCCAGCCCCTCCTCGTGTTCAAACTCTCCTGTCTCCACTGGCAATTACTGTCTTGTTGAGTCTTTTTGCTTTATTTCCTTGCTGTGTCCTCTTAGTGGCTTGAAGTCATCCCAGATGTTTTCCTCCTCTTTTGTTTCTGATGTGTGAATGCTAGTTTTAACACRGAAATGCTTGTTATTGGTCCCTAAACACACAACTTTGCACTTCATAGTATTTATTTTCATCCCATCTCTGTTATTGCAGTGCCCAAGGTTATTCAGTTCTTCCTGTACGATATCCTAACGCCCCAACTGCATGGACAGATTTGCATCGTTGGCAGTTTCAGTGGCAAAATCTTTTTGTTAATGAAAAATATTAAATCAGATGCAAGACAGCTCCTTCAGGAAATCTACTGAAAACTAAATTAAATTCCCTTCCTCCCTGACACTTCCTCTTTAAGCACTACACAGTAATTAGTTCTCACCTACTATGCAGTTTTTGCATTGATATCTGTGTTCTCCAGCTTATCCCCAGTTTGTTCAGTTTAACTAAGCATTTCCAGGGCAGCCAAAGGAGTGCTTTACTGATACCTAAGTAGATTAAATCTGCACATCTCTTTTGTCTAAAAATGCAGCTATTCTAATCAAAGAAATATATCCAGTTAATTTTGTGGAGTCTGCCYGGAGGAAATGATGTTCCGTTTTACCCTGTTTTCCGTTTGTCATTATGCCCTTGGTTATTGTTTCTATCCAAATCCGCTCTAGACCTGGGCGCAGTGTTGAGGTCAGGCCTGTGGTTACACAGGTCACTTTCTTTCATTTTTATCCTGTCACCCTTTCACTGTTCCATCTGCGAGCAGGAATTTTTGGCATCCATAGGAGTTCAGCACCTTGACTGGGCTGCGTGCTAAGCAGTGTCTCCTGTTTGCTTTGAATTTGGCCATTTACTTCAACTTGCCCAGGTTCTCCCATTGGAAGAGGGCATGAACAGTGATTCCTTTTCACTTTCTCATTATTTCTTTATACGCATGTATCATAACCCCCTTTCAGCTTTTTTTTCCCCRGTCTTGCAGATCCTAGTTTCTTTAGTGGTCCCCCTTACAAAGACATTGGTAAGGTCACCTAGRAAGCTCTAGTTAGAGATGATTTGGGAAGGAGAGTTAGAAGGGAAGAAGAAGAAACCTCTCTTCTGTTCTCCTTGCCAGTTCACATGAAGAGTTGAGCCTCTCTCCTCTCTCCACTGGGTTTTCTCCCCTTCACCACTTGCTTGTGGTAGAGAAGGAAGACTGAAAGGAGAATRAAGTCTCCTACACTGTATCTTTCTATCCCTGCCTGTTAGAACAGCAGGCAGCAAAAAACAGTCGCAGCTGAAGAAACAAATAACCCAACCTCCCCAACTGTTCCTTGCATGGTGGTTCCTGTCCCGGCAATACGAGAGTTGGTAGGAATGTAGCTGTCACACACTCCTCACCTCCCACCTCTGCCAGGGGGAGAGGACCTGCATGGTGTTGAGCCCCAGCCAGCTCTCCAGGGCCCACACGTGTGTGTAAAGGTGCGGGTGTCATTGATGAGCTCACACACAGGTACAGGGACAGGCTGCACAGGGTCTGCACCTCCGCCTCGCTCCCTTGTGCAGATGATGCTCGGCTCACACCGGTAGCTCCAAGGTTGTTGCATAGATGTTCTCCTTGTGTGTGCACATAGCCAGGAAAGATGGGAGGTAACATGAATAAAAGAAAAGAAGGAACAGCTAATTGGGTTGGTTTCAAGTCATTTTAGCCTGGAAATCTGGCATAAATAGTAATGTTAGCACCCTCTGATCCAAGGAGGCACCACGTAAGAGCTCGTTTTGAAGCACTTCCCAAAATTGGATTTGGGATCTCTAGTTTGATCTCAGCTTGAGCTTAATGAATTTGCCAGGACTGTGCTGGACGCGGTGCAGGGCTCGGTGGCTGCAGGCTGAGCAGGAGGGCGATGCTGCGCCCTGGCGGCTCTGCAGGGACGTGGTCCCGGCCCTGGGCCGCATGACRGGTCCCCAGCCAGTCCTGCAGGACTGTGAGCCCCTCCTCTGGACGAGAGAGGCCTGAGGCTTTGCTGGCTACCCTTGTGAGCTGGTAGCTGATGTCTTGTCAAGGGCACTTCTGATTAGCCCCATCCACTATAAGGGAGACAAAATCACGTTCATTCCAAGTTGAGGGACAGTCCCTCAAGTG